TCAAGATACATAAACAATTCTTAAGCTACATATCGCACACCGTCTTCTAAAGGGGCACAACTCGCAATTACACGTTTGTCAGAAAATGCGAAAAACTATTTCTTAGCACACGATAATCATACCTTTACCCTAGTTTTTTTCTAACAAATTATAACAAAAACTTTCCTCCAGCTTTTGCTGAAAGCTAAGTAAAAGCTCTGTGTACATTTTTAGCACCTAATTTCAAAAAGGCCAAATTTTGAGTTGTTCCTCTTTTGAAGACGGTGTGCGACATGTACATTTCTCTATCAGGGAGTCAATTGATAAGATTTACAACATTGAGTAACTACAGTAAATTACTAATTGTTTACAACAGCAGCAATACAGCCTAATAAGGAAACATTAAATTATTTGCATACGCGCACATGTTGATGTTGATTACTAAGTATTTATTAACTACTAGCTCTGTTTGGTTTATCTCTCTTCATTATTTTCTAAATGACTGAAATTTAATAATGCTCATTTATTGAAAAAGCAAGAAAACTGTTGAGTATCTATATCAATTGAATACCAAAGTTTGCTTGTAAGGGGAGACCAATTGTTTTTTTTTTGTAACTGCTTAAAAGGAGAAGCTCATAGAAAGAGGAACATCTTTAACTAAGAGCGGCTGTATGTCAAAGGATCTAAATTTTCATCCATTAGAATATTGCTAAATGCCTAACTTTTAAAGTGCTTCCATTCCATGTACATACATTCTTATATGTACCTTAGGATGGCTCATTTTTTTACTATACGCGTATAGCATATGAGGGCCCTACGTGTAAGTCTAAGCAAATTTGCCGGAGAAATCCTGGGTCTAAAATCAATTAGGAGTTTGCCAAAAGGCCAAAAGAGGTTTCGAAGAAATTGGGAAAATGTTCACTGTTGCGCCCTCTGATGGAAGTTTTAAGAAAAAGATAAACGCACAAATGGATTACTCATACCAAAAAATAAAACTATATTATGTTTTTGTACAAAATTTAAGCACTCTTTACGACTCTACAGCAGAATGCTAAGAAACCTATTTTCACAATTTGGCAAACTCCCAGTTGGTTCTGGGCCCATGATGTCTTCGGAAAATTCGCTTAGCATTACACTTTGAATACTTCTGTACTATACGCGCATAGGTGAAAAAATCTCCCATATAAATTGACCTGCCTAATGTACCTACATAACTGTGTATATATTTACATATCCTGCAAAAAACTGTTAATAATTACTAAAGAGAGTGAGTTATCATGGAAGAAGGCTCTCTGCCTAATCTGGAAGCAGGCACCCAAGTAGTAGGTTAAAATAAGTGGCTCCAGTTTTCCAGGGTGTCAGTGATTAGCTGTGCAAACAGACTACCTTACCTCACCTCCTAAAGAAAGTAGATCCGGATTGGACAGTGTACAATTACCCATTAACTTATCCCACTACACCCTTTGCGTGCATAATTAGATTTTAGATAGGAAACCCGCGTGACGGTAAAACGCTAAATTTGAACTTAAGCTTTAAACAGGTGACAACACTCTTCAAAAGCCTAAAAAATATTCCAATTTTCAGTCAAGCTTATAAGCGAGACGCGATCCAAATATAATTTAAGACCGTCCAGCCATTTCTGAGTGAAGAAAGGCATGATGTAGATCAGATGACCTTCACAAAAATGACTTTGCGCATCATATGTACTTACATATACATGAAACATAGTTAGATATATATGACTTTTTCAATAAGTGGCAACCCTAATCAAAAATACTTTCAAAACAAGGCTTTACTAAAACCCCTGCAATTGACACTCATATTTTAATATTCAAGCAAATAATAACTCAACAGTGACATGAATACAAAGGCGAGAATGCGCTGACTGTTTGTTTGATAACAGGAGAGTCATGTCTTAACTGACCACCAGACTCAATCGCTCTGCTTCCTTACCCAGCCTGGAAAAGGTAGAACAGACTTCGTGGTTCTTGCTACCGACTATGTCAATGTCATCGGAGTACGCCAGCAATTGCACGCTCTTGTAAAAGATTTTTCCTGCGCGGTTCAGTTTGAAGCTCTTACATCAGATTAGGTCCAACATCAGATTAAAGAATTCGCATGAAAGGGAGTCGCCCTGTCTGAAACCCCGCTTGGTAGCAACCGGCTCGGAAAGAACTTTCCCAATTCTGACGGAGCTGGTGGTATTGCTCAACGTCATTTTACATAGCCATATCAGTTTCGCGGGTATGCCAAGTTCAGACAATGCGGCGTATACACAACTCCTTTTAGTGCTGTCGAGAGTGGTTTCGGAATCGACAAAAAGGTGGTGATTGTCGATCCTTATCTCGCGGGCCTTTTCCAAGATTTGGCTTATTGTGAATACCTGGTGTATGTTGGATTTTCCAGGTCAAAAACCACACTGATAAGTTCCAGTCAGTTCTTTGACGGTGGGCTTCAGTCTTTAACACAAAACACTCAATAAAACCTTGTAACCTATGCTAATTAGGCTGATCCCGCGGTAGTTGGCGCAAATGTCGCCTTTCTTGGGGATTGGACAGAGCACCTTTAAATTCTAGTCATCGGGCATGTGTTCATCTGACCATATTCTGCATAAGCGTTGATGCATGCAGCTTATCAACTCCTCGAATCCGTACATGAATAGCTCAGTTGTGAGGCCGTCAGCTCTAGTCGTTTTTTTCTCATCCAGATAATTGCTATTCGTACCTCGTCATAGTCAGGTGGTGAAAAATCAAATACATCTTCATCGACTGGGAAATCAGGTTTGTTTTCTCCACTATTTTCAGTCCTGCTACCACAGGTGTAGGGTGGAAAAATGTTTTCTTGACTATTTAAAAACCATTCTAGACATCGGTCAGTAGGCCGCCTTGGTTGTCATTACAGGAGTTCGCCCGGGTCTTGGAACTTTCCGTAAGTCACCAACTCTCTCAAGCTCTTTGCACTCACGTATTTCGGCCTCTCCCTTCTTACTGCGGAAAACACGTCTCGCATCACTCTTCAGCTCGCCGTATCGATCCCACACACCGATATATTTTTTCTCTGCAGCTTCTTGACACTCCTCATCGCACCAGTTGTTCTTTCGGACTCGCTGAAATCCGACTACTACTTAATGAACGGGAAATGTTGTTCCACTGGGCGCATATGTCGGTTTGTTGAAGAGTGCTCCCCGAGAGTAGGTGTGGAAGTCGAGTGGTGAATCCATTGGTCGTTTGTTTTATTGCAGCTTTTCGACGTTGAGCTTTCCTTGCTTTGTTGGGTGCATATTTTTTGCTGCACGTAAGCGGGGTGCGTATTTTGGCTGCAACAAGAAAGTGGTCCAAGTCGATGTTTTGTTCTCGGAGTGTACTCAAGTCTAAAACACTAAAAGCGTGCCTTCCGTATATCATAACATTATCGATTTGGTTTCTAGTTTTACGATGTGGAGACAGCAAGTAGCTTGATGGATCGTTGTATATTTGAACCTAGCACTGCATACTACCATATATCGTACCTCGGCGAAGGGGTTCGGCCTCAGTCCGTTATCGGATGTTTCATCGTGGAGGCTGAATTTTGGCATTGAAAACCGCCAAGCACGATTTTGATATCGTGACAGGGGCAATGCTCGTGTGTACTCTCCAAGCGCTCATAGAAGATATCCTTGGACGCCTCGTCCGCCGCATTCATTGGGCATGTGCGCAGATGAGCGAGATGTTGAAAAATCTCGTTTTGATGCGGTTTATGGCTAGACACTCCTTCGCCAGTACTCGGCGACGGAGTCTCTTTCCCACCACAAATTCAACACCGATTTTTCGCTCCTGTACGTAAGTTTTGCCTGATTAGTCATTCAATTTCGCCTTCCATCACTTACACCCAACTACTCCTCCCTTTTTTGACCCATTCAATGCGGCAGTAATGAGCTGGTTTCAAAGCAGCAATCAACAGCAACAGTAAACGGAAACGCCTGCAACAGCAGCAATCTATCATAATTTGT